ACTTTGGATTTTACCGTCCAGAGAACAGCTCAGAGTGTGTGGAACAGGAGGAGTTGAAGGGCCATCCTCTGGAGTTCTGCTTAAATGGGACTACTGAACAGCTCCAGTCCAGTGGGTGAGAATGCCTGTTGTAGATTTTTTTGGGGTGCCTTTAATTTTTTCAGAACAACTGAGAAGTGACAGGAAAGTGGGGAGAGAGAGGGTGATGGTTTGCAGCCATAGGTTGGAATCAAACCTGGTCCATTACGGTAAAGACTCAGCCTTAGTACATGGGCTGCACGCTAAATGGGGGTCATACAGAGAATGTCTGTTTTTATCTCCTCTGCTCTTTTGCCCTAGTTTAAGAGACAAGAAACTCGAACTTATACAAAATGTTGAAATTGTATGCATAATTATGATAATGTCAGTTACAGGTCTGTCAACAGTAATCCAGGTACAAGCACTGTAATAAATGGCGAGCACTTCCAGAACCCCATTATAGATTATGCATTTAAGGCTAATTGTTGGTTAGTAGATTTCCATTTCTGCAGCTCTTGTGCCTCCATCTCCCTCCATTAGTGGTATGAATCTTATCTTTAGTTTACCAGCTGCCATGTCCTGCCCTTTGTCCTTGTCATTGAGTTTTGTCTTGCCTTTCATGTCTCTGCGTCTTCTTACATAGCTATCGGAAGATTCCAGGCGACCAGTGTGAGGGAGGTTTCCAGCCAGACAGGAAGGAGACAGACCTGAGAAGGATATGCACGAGCAACGCCCTTCATCCTAATTCTCTGGTCAGTTCTGCTTATTTACAGAAAGAGACAGGGTGGGCTAACTACACAATAGAATGCCATCTACCTGGTTGCATATTGAGACATCCTAAAAATCAACAGGGGAACCTCTGATCTTCGGCATGGTCAACACTAAAGGTGTGAATGAGCCATGTTATCAATCAAGTGTACTGCAGGTTTTGAGTTAATGAATCCATCCACTACTGTTCTGCAAATATGTTTTTGTGCATCGAGATACAAGATACATGAGCAGGTGTTTGCAGTACAGCTGAGAAACATAAAATCTGGTGAATCCTTTGCCATGTGAGTGATGCAGTGTATGTATAAAGGTGTAATTTCTTCACATTTTCAGCCCTTTCTGTTTCTCTAACTCTTAACAGACTGAAAACAGTTCACCAAACACTGCCATCGTAGTGATGGTTGTCATAGTGATCTTTCTGATGAGTGGCGTTGCAGGCGTTTGGCTGGTTAAGAAATATGTCTGTGGAGGACGGTCAGTTAACTGTTTCATCTTTCTACAAACTCGCAAATAAACAGTGTACATGCTGAATTTCAACTGTGTTTGTTTTCTAATGTGCATTATGTCCTCATCAGGTTCCTTGTGCACCGATACTCTGTTATGAGGGAACACGTTGAGGCTAATAAAATAGAAGGGGTCGATGATATTGACCCTCACTACATGGAGACAGGAAAAGCACAGTACAATGAAGACTCAGATCAGGTAGCAGATACTGTTTAAAAAACACAATTTGTAGTTAAACTTTGATTAAACTCTTATTTTATCTATGAACTAATATGCCTTGTTTGTGTCTCCCCACAGGACCTCTTAGAATAAGGTGGACATTTCTCCCCACTCAAAGGCTCTTCAAGACTAAATTTTATGCAGTCTTTCATGGTGCCTGGGTGCTCCTGTTGCTCCCACATGCTGATTAACATCTTCTTCTCACTTCTCCCTTTCCCCTGGTGGCTGGAGGACTCAGCAGCAACTCACATTGCTTACTTGTGCCAGTTGAGTCTCCCACAAAAAGGCGAACCGGTGGTTTGGGGAGGGGGACAAACCCAGCGCCGAACAGAAGAAAGCCTCTGGGGTCCCTGGAGAGCTTTTGTTGTTTCTGTCACAAAGAGTTCTGTAAAGACCATCGAGTCTGAATATGTGCTCTGTTGTGCTCTGTATGTGTCCTTCCATGCTGACCTGAGAAAGGTTGGTCTTTCATATCGTGATGCACTGCAGATGCACCACAGGAAGGCTACGACTCGGACTCATAAAAAATTAGGGAAAGAGTTAGGGAACAGCCAAGTAACAGAACACAGAAAATAACAATTCGTATTTTAGCTCAGAAATTATGTCTGGTGTCAAGTAAGTAGTTTATTTACTCAATAAATTTAAAACTTGCAAGAAACATTCTTGTTGTGTATGGCGGCCATTTTAACATTCATCTTGTGAGTTTCACCAGTCACTAAAATTAGGCACTATGAGTTATTTTAGAAATGAGCAATTTTTTACTTTAATAGCAACTACTGAGAGCACTAGTGCGTCCTTTAATGCTACTGGTCTTCATTTTGACAAGTAGTGTTTGTGTTTTTAACCATATACTGTCTATGTTTTTTACAGGTAAAAAATTACCACAATTTTGATAGTACTCCATCAGGTGGTGCACTTTTCACATAACCCTTCAGTACACTATAATGTTTGTTTTATTGTAACAGTGGAAGTTCTTTCTTATTTTACGACAGCATTTCACTTTTTAAAGTAGGTAATATATAATCATAACAAATATATTAATAGTCCAATATTATTCAAATATGTCAACATTTTTGTTTTTATCATTTTTAATTATTATTAAAAAGTATTATTAAGTTTAAATAGATAGAGGAGTTGTACTAAAATGTAGCAGTAACAAAACATAAAGATAAGTACAAATACTGTTTAGACAGTTGCTATTAAGAATGCAAAGATTATTATTAAAAGTGATTACTACTGCTTATTTTAGACCAACTATTATTAGCTACCAGATAAAGTATGTTGAGAAGAAAGACACAAGAATGAATCAAATACTAGTCTTTAATTTTTAGTGCCTAGTGAAATAAATGTTAAAAGGGCCTGCCATTGTTCTGAAGATATACAGTGCAGCTTCATACAACCAACCTTTTCTGCTCCCCTGTATGTGGTGAAAGTGAAAGACTTGAATTATTGCCAAAGCACTTTTGTTTTTTAGTTTTCTCATTTTAAGAGGTGAGGTTTTAGAGGTGAAACCTAACCTTAGCCCAGCATTATATGAGTATGAAGGTAATGCTAACCCAAACCCTTTACTTGAACTTTCTGATATTTCTGTGTAACCGGATGCATCAATATGTTACTGTTGTTGTGTTTGTTTTTATTATTTGGCTGATATTTTCCCCTTATCAGTCAGTACCAATATGCATTTGTCTAATGATCTTAATGCAGGTGCAGGCATAATCATCAAGATAATCAAATGTTTTTCAGAGATAATCTTGTGTCTGTTTCTAATATGACAGTAGACAAATAGTCACAAAATGCTGTTATAATATTATATGAATTTAAAGCTACTATTAGCCAGTATTGATATATTTGTGCATCCAAATTTAATAATCTCAGATATGTTGCAAAATATCCACAATAACAGAACTAATTTATCAGATTAAGGTGTCTGGTGCCCATAAAGAGCATAAACTTAACCTATTAAATTAATCAAGAACTTTTCCCCACACTTCTCTGTGTTATATGAATTGTTTAGATGAGATGTTGGCTGGCTACCATTCCTATCGTCTGCGATGTAAGAGCTGTAACTGTTGACACATGCAGGCCAATGCTTGTTTTCTCCAGCAGAGTCAATAATATCCCAGTGAATAAGCTACTGTAATAAGCTGGCCTAATATAGAGGCATATTCTCAAGGACTGTTGGGTGGACTTTGTCAGATATGAAAGCAACTTCATATGCTTGATGCTTCTTTATTTACACAACTGTCAGTAAGAACAAACCCAGATATTTACTGGATTCAATGATTTATTTTTGCACTGTATCTACAGATCTGTGAAAAAGTTCCATTTGTGCCTCCTTGTACATCTAATGTTTGAGGGCCATGATTTGTGATCTTCATTCCTTGTTTTTCTTCACTGTTTGCCAGAATATATGAGATAAGAATATCTGAAGTAAACTGTTCTGTAGCACAGATGTTTCATAACAATGTTTGCATTTATTGAATGAAATAACACTTTCTCTTTTACATCAGCTCAGTTGTGTTTGGATTTTGTTAATGCATCATTTCTACAAATTGATTGGTTCAAAGCCCTGCAATATAAGTAAGAGTATGCTCATTGTAAAATGCAGGCTACTAATGTACAAGCAGTCATTTACTTAATTATTACGTTAATGAGAAGTTTTCAAAATGGCCTTAGTGTTCAGTACATGTTGTATTGTTGTTGTAACCTTGAAGGGAGAAGGTACTGTACAAGGACACAATGTCCTCCTTCCTGCAGTCACAACACTACGATGGAGCTACACCAAGGCAACAAACATGATTAAACAATCACTATGATTATTTATTTTATTTCTGAACATTTAAAATTAGGCACCCTTTATAAAAGGTTTGTAAGTTGTAGCTACTAAGTTTATTTGTAGTAAGAAAAATTATTTACCAATGCTTTACAGATCAGATCTTAGCCATTTCCAAGACACAGGCACGATGTAAAAAAATTACTCAGTTTCTTATTAATGGCTTATAACTAATTAATTAAATATTGTTAATGACTTATTAACCAATAATAAAGCCATTAGTTTCAACTTATAAACCCTTTAAAGAGGTATCTTATTAGAAAGTGGAACTGAACTCAAGACCATCATGTTTAAAAAGACTATTATACTCAATGTAATACGTAACATAAAACTTAATTCAGCAAAATAAATAATGCAGCCAGAGGACATTTTAAATGTGAGTAAAAAGGAGCCCTTGATATCTCTTTTGGAATCAAAGTTACAAACATTTCATGAAGTGGACCTACTATATAATAATAATAAAGATATAGTTACTCACCTGTAAATGTTCCCAGGTAATTTCCACCTCTCTAGGAACTATCTGTTAACATTAAAGCTCTGAATATAGACAGACAATATTGCATCACTGGAGGCTCATGATGCCACCTGACGTGCCATACATCCATCCACACTAGGGGGCGCCACACACTCGGCCTGTGTAGCGGTGCCTCCGGAAGTAGTGTAACCATATTGATCGTTTTGAATCTGTAGTTCAGCTATCGAACCTGCGTTCCAGTTAGTGAGAGTTAGCTAGTGATTAAAAGCCCACATTCATCAGTAATATGTCTATGTATGAGATGTTGGCCGCGTGTTAAAGCAGCAGTGCGTGTGGAGCAATGTAGCAGCGGTGAAGTAATGACAACTCATCACGGTGAGATTATTTTTCAACGAACGTATTGTTCAGGAAATAGCTGGCGAGCTAGCTGACGTTAGCTATCGTCAGCTAACACGTTTGCTGGTAACGACAGCGCACTAGTCACCTGCGGACGTTACCCAGATGTTCAGTTCACCTGCCAGTGGACAGTTGTGGTTGCAGTTGTGCTTTCATTTACACTCGGTAACGCTACACCAGTTTATCCAACGTTACGCTGGCTCGGCTTGCCAGGAATTGTGGCCTTGTTATGTGAAAGAAACAGTAATGGTGGAGCGGTGTACCGACTCCATCCAGACAGCTGTCGGCAGCTTATGTGGGCGCAGTCTGTTCAGCTTTAAACTCATTAGGCCAGCGACGTTTGAATCGCTAGATCGGGTTGACTTCGTAGGTGTTGCCATTACATTTAACGTTATAAAATAATTCAAACTAACAATAGTTTGACACTGTCACGTTGTTTTGGCCTCGTGGGCGAAGGAGTTACGTGACACCCGCGTTATGTGATGATATCGATTGGATTTGAAGGCTGGTTTGTCTTACATGTTAATAATTTGGGGGTTTCAGATTTTGTTGGGTTACTATGAGCTCTCTATCAGCCCAGCCTGCGGCATCATGCTCTTCATGCAGGACACTACCTGGAGAGGGAAATCAGGTACGAAAGCAGCTACTTTGTCTGTGCAATATATCCATCAATGCATATATAATTCACACTTGATTCTAAGTTGGTACTGTTGCTTCGACCCCAGGTACAACCGAAAGCCCCTCTCCTGCAGATTCTGCGTGTTGCCGGAGCCCAAGAAGAAGTCTTCACTCTCAAAGAGGTGAGTCGGGTGGGAAAAGTAGTATGCAGCCTGTTGTACTGGTTCATGACAAAGTGACACAGGAGAAGTGGTCATTCCAGGGTCAGCAACCCCTTACACTGTGGTCTTAGAGGTAAAAATGCCCCTCATAAGTGCTGTATGATCTCTGATATTCAGTCTTTTGTGTAGGTGATGCACTACTTGGGTCAGTACATCATGGGAAAGCAACTGTATGACAAGCAGAGGCAGCATATAGTCCACTGCCAGGATGACCCGTTGGGAGAGCTGCTGGAGGTGGAGAGCTTCTCAGTCAAAAACCCGAGGTATTTACACACACCAAACGTGGTCAACACTCCTGAATTATACATCTAAACGTATACACTGAAAATAAGGAAGTCTATTCTAAACTCTTATGTTCTCATTTTACAGCCCGGTGTATGAAATGCTCAAGAAATACTTAGTTGTGCTTGGTTGTTCTGGTAAGTGCCACATTCACTTAATGCTTTATTCATTCTTTATGAAAAATAATATTTCTGTCAGGGGGCATCATCAAAGAGCAAGCACTATATCAGTATATTCTGAACATTGTACGTTTGTGATGACTTGAAATTCAATTGTGTCTTTCTTCTCTTCCCCTTTGTGTTTGATGAATTCAATATTTAATTTGCATCTTTAACATGGTATGGTTGGAAGTGACGATCCCTGGGAATATGGTGATTATCTCACCATCATATTCCCTCTGTATATTCTAAAATCACTTTTCTTGTTACATACATTGTGAGTGCTTGTGATCTCTTGAGGATGCGGGGACCAGAAGAAAAGCTATTTTCCAGCTTGTCCTTAAAAGCCACAGCAGAAGGCCTTAGTGAGAGAGTGTATTATGCTATAATTAAAGGGTGGGGGTGTCCTTTTTTCTGTTACTGTGTCTCATCTGAAATGCAGACGCTGCAGAGAATCTTTCTGTGGGCCGTGAATGTGTAGAGGGCGGAGTGGAGGATCGTGGTCAGGTAAAGCTGAAGCATGGTGCTCAGGAGAAACAGAGACCCCCCAGCCTTTCTCACCTCACTACACACAACACTTGCGACGGCAAAGGGGCAGGGCTGAAAGGCTAAGATAAACTCTTTTGCTCATAAGCCATAACATGCACTGATTTGATTTGCCTGAACTTAGACCCGCAGGCCTTGGTGTAGCACCAAATCACAAAGACGATAAAGTGAGCTGCTGCCTGCTTGTGTGTAATGAGGAGGGGAGGTAAGGTCTGCTGTCTTCGTTGGTGTGCATTTGTACAGAGTGGCACCGTCTCTGTACAACCCCATCCTTGGTTTGGTCTGGTGGTATTTAAAGTATTCTTTTGTGATCCACCAGCACCACCCAGTGGATGGGGTGGGGCAGAGTCACTCTCTCTGTCTGTCTCAGAGTTCTCTTCTCTGCTCCGAAACTGGAGGATCACAGCTCCTGTTCCAGCCACAGGCCTAACAGTAACCTGAAACCTTTTAACCCATCCCCGCTTTCCTACACCCTGTTTTCCGAATCCCTCCAAAATCCACCTTGAAGCACCTACTGAGCGCCTAATTGTGTGTAAGACCTTAGTCTCAGCATTGTTGAGCTCCAATCAGATTTAAATTGAAGCTCTGATCATACTTTCAAATGTCCATTGTCATTGTTACCAGCTGTGATTAATAGTAAGCATTAGAAGATATCAGATGCCATCTTTAATAATTTCTTTCTGTTTTCCTTTCTCATGTAAAAACATCTTACAGTTAACAACTTACAAGAACATTTATCTTGTACAGTATATATATTCATGGACCATATGTTAAAAGAAGTCATTTAAATCCTGTGATTTAGTGTGCACATACTACACATTAAAACTGTTGTAGAGTTTTTAAATCTTTGACTCATTAGTTTAATCACTGTTCTATTCAGTACACTGGCTTTCCTACTGGCCCCTTCTCTATCTGTCTCTGCTTTTTTACCCTCCATACAGTTTTGGTTACCCTGTTATCTCTTCAATTTGTTTTGACTTCCCTCCCCGCTGGCCCCTACCCTAATTGCCCAGTCCCTTGTTCCCTGTACCACCACCCCATAACGAGAGGCCACCTTGAAAAGGAGCTGCGAATCCTCCAAGTACCCAGTTATGGCTCTGTGTTCTCATTTTTGTCCTTCCTCCCTCTGTAGATATGTGGAGGTGTGGTCAAAGCAGGGCTGGAGGCTGTCAGTAATGGGCCTCTCCTGCCGACCCCCTCCCAGAGACGACCTCGGGAGCCAGACGATGGTAAAGTTATTTATTACGGTTTCACAATATGACAGTATATACAGTCCTGCTCAAAATGCTGTATTTAAGCATTCAAAACCTCTACAGACTCCCTTGAAGGCCTGCCACGGTCAGCCTGTAAACGGCCCAAACTGGATGTTACTCTGGACGAGTGGGACCTCTCTGGCCTGCCCTGGTGGTTTCTGGGTAATCTTCGTAGTAACTACAGCCGCAGGAGCAATGGCTCCACTGACATCCACACAAACCAAGTAAGAAACCTCATGTGTAGGTAATCTGTTAACGTCAGTAACAGTGAGGTTCAGGGCTGAATTGGGAGGTTTCAAGCTTAAAAACAGCTAAAACAGACAAGATTACTATTTGACAAAGTGGCATGAAATGGAGTGATGAAGTGGTGGTCTGACTGATGTGTTAGCTGTCTCCTGCACAGGAGGAGGACACAGCTATCGTGTCAGACACCACTGATGACCTCTGGTTCCTGACCGAGGGCGAGAGTGAGCAGGTGAGCGTGGAAATGAAAGAGGCTGCACTGGAGGAAGGGAGTGCAGGGGAAGGGGAGGCTCTACCTGAGGATGATGATGGAGGAGGAAAGGAGGCGAAAGCAGATCGAGAGGTAGGAGTGAGTTTCAGCATCTTTATTGGTTCCAATCAGGTTCATACCAACCAATAAAGTTATTCATGTTTTACGGTTGAGAGTGAGGACACTGTTATGTGAGGTTCGATCAAATGTCTTGTATATGTATTTAGATGCAGGAGGAGCCAGATGAAGACTCGCAGTGTCTGAGCGATGACACTGACACAGAGATCTCCACACAGGTTGGTAGCATCTGTTGTTTTTCTCGCTGTATGTTGTAGTTTCAGGTTGTTGCAGCTGCAGATTAAAACTGAGAACTTTGTGTCCCCGTTATCAGGATGCGTGGCAGTGCACAGAGTGCAGGAAGTATAACACGCCTCTCCAGAGGTACTGTGTTCGCTGCTGGGCTCTACGTAAAAACTGGTACAAGGATGTCCCCCGACTAGCCCATTCCCTTTCTGTTCCTGACATCCCAGCATGCAGTTCTCTCACCACCCACGATGAGGAAGATGACAGCGACACAGGCATTGATGTCCCAGACTGCAGCAGGACAGTGTCTGACCCTGTCATCCTGCCCTCCCACTCCACGGCTGACCGGCCACTGCCTAATATGGTCACAGGGAAAGGCAAGGGGCCTTGGCCCTCCAGCTTCCTTAAGGATGAGCAGCTCTCAGAGGGGGACAGTCAGGAAAATCTGGGCATGGAGGTTGAAGAAGTTAGGCCTGAGGCACTGTTGGAGCCTTGCAAGCTCTGTCGAGTGCGACCGCGCAATGGAAATATAATACATGGTCGCACTGCTCACCTACTAACCTGTTTCCCATGTGCAAGGAGGCTACACAAGTTCCAGGCTCCTTGTCCGGGTTGTGGGAAGATCATTCAAAAAGTTATTAAGACGTTCATCCTCTAAATGGCACACGCACACATCTGTCTAGGCTCTGGGGACTTAAACAACACACATTTTCAAATGGTTTCAACAATACTAGCTGCATGCACTCCGGTACACACTGCTTGTAGAGAGACACGCAAAAAACGTGCACCTTAACCTTAAAACCTACACAGATACATGCAAAGTTTAGCACTTGGTAAAGCTTGCTCTTGGTTGCATGGTTTATTTTGAATCACACTGCCTCCGAAGTATTGTTAGGTGAAACACAAGAGTTTATCATACCAAATGTTTGTTTTAGTGCCACATTTAAATAAGGGACACACAAAGGCAGAAGTATTTATTTATTTATGAGAAGATCACATAAGGGTGCAGTTTGTGATATTATTTGATTTCATTGAGGCTTGTTTTTTCAGGCTGTGTGAATTTTCTTATTGGTTTTTGCATTGCATTTGTTAAATGTGCCATTTAAAAAAAAAACAAAAAAACTAGTAATGCTTGCTTTAGTTTTGTTAGTTCTGTTTGATTTTTGTTCTCCACAGACTCACTTCAGTCATCTTGACTGAAATGGAAAAGTCAGTGCAGGTATGTCTTTACAAGAACATTTCTTGTATTTCTTCATTTTCTAGGCCATTTGTCTTTTTTTCACCCTTTTTATATCCTTTTTAGGTACTGTGGCCCTGATATTTGAGTTATGAAGACAACATTGAAGGAAAAACAAGAAAGGGTCTTAAAACCATGATTTTATTGTCAGCAGCTGCAGCTTCATGAATCCACCTAACCTTTTCTTTTTAAAAAGAAAGTTCTCTCCGCATTAGTGAATGTACTGTTAAAAAAAACAAACAAATGTGGTGGCTTAAGTCCTGTTTCTCTCTGTTTCTAGAATTGAATTTAACCTGCTTGAGAATGCACAGCTGAAGTATTTACTGTAATTTTCTCTTGTGGTAGTAATAATCTGATATTAATATGTATTCAATATTTACAGTTGCCAATCCTCTGACAGTTATGCCTGCAGTAAGTTATGTCAGATAAATGTTGGTTAATGTTTAAATGTTATCATTCAGAAAGGGCACTTTACACCCCTTCTTGAGCTTACGATGAATGAACAATTTCTGTATATTTTGTATTTAAGTTATTTATGAATCTGTTTTGATTGTTTCGATAACCACCTCTATTGAAGCAGAAAAAGGCTGTACAGTATTTGTTACAGCAAAAACAATTTCTTAAAGTTATACAGAAAGTCTTTAAGGAAACAGGCTAAGTTACCAAATGTAAACTCAGTGAAAATGACTGCATAGTACTTATTTGGATTTTGGGGACTTGATTTAAGCGTTACACTGCCATGTAATGACGTTGAACTTTAATTTGTATATTATAGATTTTATTTTGATGGTTCTGCAGTATTTGAAGATTGTATAGCTGCAGTATGTAGATACTATTTACTTTAATTGTGTGTATGAGCTGTCTACAATACAGTATCCTCTACAATGCTCACAAGTAAGATGTCCAGTGACCGTAAGCATTTAAATCTTGGCTCTGCTTAGCGTAGAGGGAATATTATAGTTCTGCTCTTTACTTGCGCTTAATCATTCTGCCAGCAGGTGGGGAGAAGTCTCACGATTGTATCTGGTGCGCACAGAAGCTGTACAGTACCAGTTATAACGTGATGCATATATAGAGCATGCCTCCTGTCGTGAGTAGAGCCAGCACTGAGTTGGTGTGAGAGCTATATTAGCTATATAAAAGCTATAAAAGATTAATGTAGCCTGTTGTAATTATCACCGCCATTGTGAGTCAAGATGAGACAAACTTCCTCTAAATACAGACCTCTAAAAATGGCTTAGTATGTATTATACCATTAATACTGTTTCAGAATGACTTAATTGTTGCAATTATTGACATTAAGACGAATGTACTCAAACAAGGTACAGCTAATATAGTTGTTGTTTTTTTTTCTACTTGTCATGGAATAAAATAAGTTGTTTTGTAAAGCAATAAAGAGTTGGGACTTAATTGTTTAATTTTGTTCACTAGGTGTCCACAGGGACAGTTGATGTACAGTACCCACTGGTGAAGGGAGCTATGTGTGGGTGTGGTGTGTGTTTTGGCTGAAGAATAAGTCATTGTATGACAGCCCAGCTGTCATGTGTCCTCTGCTTCTTGACTGGGCTCCAGCACCTGCAACTCTCCTCTCTTTACTCACCATTATGCTTACTTGTGTCTGTCTTATTTTTGTCCTCTTGTCCAGAAGTGGGACAGACACCCTACCCTCTTACTGTATGTGTTGCTGTCACACTGGTGCAGCTATGTTACCCCAGGGTGTTATTTAGATAACTTGTTAGGGAATATTTCCGGAGTGTGGAAAGTCCCCTGTGAAGCTCTCCGCCATCTGAAATTCACATTCCATGTACAGAATAGCTTGTACATTTCCATTAAATATGAATACTTGCATACAAGTACAGACAAAATTATTTATAAATTCCTGCATTAAAAATGTTATGTGAGTAAAAGTACTTGAGTATTATCAGGAAAATATTCTATATATATATATGATTTTTTTTTATTCAGTAAGTATCAAATATGAAAGTACTCATGGCAAAGAAATTGCTTCGTATAAGACTGTAACTAATGGCTATTGTCATTATTGATCTGCTGATTCTTTTGTCTAGTTTGGTTTATAAAAAATCACAAAATAGTGAGAAACATCAACCAGAATTACCCAGAGTAATCTTCAAATGAACTTTTGTCCAACCAATAGTCCAAACCTCTAAATGACTCAGTTTATTGTAATTTTAAGTCAAGGAAACCATGAATTCCCAGCAGATTTTTGACTAAAATAGTTGCATTGATTCCATCAATAAATCAAATCCTTTCAGCTCTAATTTAATATACTGTTGGACAGATTAATACAGCAATGCATCCTATGTTTGACCTCTATAATCTTTTGATGTACAATTTTAAAAAAGTGGAGTAGCAAAGTCTGTGTGTGTAACAATTAGGAGGGTCTATTGGCAGAAATTAAATATAACATTCCTCAGTGTACATTGAATAATAAAAATATAAGAATTGTGTTTTCTTTACCTTAGAATGAGCTGTTTGTATCTACACAGGCAGTGGGTCCACTTACCTGGATGCCACCATGTTCCTACAGTAGCCCAGAATAGACACTGGCTCTAGATAGGGCTTTTTGCGAGTTTCATTGCTAGTTTCTCCTACACACTTCAAAGGCGAACAGTATTTAGTTGGTTGCAATATGCAACTTCACCGCTAGATGCCACTAAATCCTACACACCTTGAAATAATGTACTTAGTTACATTCCACCACTGGCAAATGTCACATAGTATGGAGGTAGGTAACGTTAGGTGTTGCTGTCCTCTCTGTGATTTTCACTACAGTATGAAATGCTCCCGACAGCCATGCTAAAATGCTTCCCCTCACTCTGCATCTAATTCAAGAATGGCATACTGCTTTGTCCGCGGCGTCTGGCACGTCACAGAGCGTAGAGACAAAGAATGGCATAACACCCCTGGTGACATGGCACCCAGAGCTTGGCAGCTCTAGTATGGCACGACTTAGGGAGTGGTAGGGGATCTGCATGTTTCCATGGCGACAGTACCTCCATCCCAACGTCCCAGAATAAATTAACACATTCTCCCTTTATCCCCTATGGCGTATGCAATACTTCCTAGAGAGAAAATAGTTAGGATGGAAGCTCTCCGTTGAACATTGTTCCCATATTTCTTTCCATATTTATCATTTCATTGCTTCTACTTTTTTGTTCTTGTACGTTTGAAGCACCTTTATAAATATACGTAATATTTCTGTGCCACTCTATTCATGTTCATCAGCATACCTTCAGGATGGCGAGCCGCAGCCTGTTTACCCTTTCTTGCCTTCTTCTGGTTGTGTCTGGATAGCTGTAACTGTATCTGTGTGGCCAGGACCTTTCTTTACACACACACACACACANNCTCTCTCTCTCCCATACACACACACACACAAATACACACACACACTTACTTTCCCTCTGTTGTGTCCGACTATTTGGTCGCTCCAGAAACCAGGCCGCTAAATTTGTCCCACCGGTGACATGGGAGAAGGTCAGTGGAGCCAGAGAAAAACAAAGATAGGGAAATAGAAAAAGGCACAAAGACTTTCAAAATAAGAGTCGGAAAAAAGTGGGGATGGGGCAGGTAATGACAGATATGTGACGCATTAAGATGAGGTTTGAGGAGAAAGATATTAGAGCTTTTCTTTTCTTGGACCCACAGCAGGAGGCCTGATATGGAAGATGATACTGAAAAGCTGAGCTGACTGGGATCAGGGCATAGTTTCCGCATAGCCATACACTCAGATCTCACAACACTGCAGTCGTATACACATGACTGGCCTCAGACAGGATTCAGCCGTGTCTCCCAGAGGAGATATGCTGATTGTGGTTTACACTTGGGCAACATCAAGGTGTAAATTGCCTTCAAATTAAACTGGATAGATTTTATGAGGGCCTAGCTTTAGCCTGTCAGATAACTTCCTGATGAACATAAGTGAAACTGGCAGCCTCCAAAAGATGGATGCTGTTTGATTTCATCATACAACTTGTGGCATTATTGGACTATATGTCATGTTAATAGTCTGGTTGTTTTGTAGCAGTGGACCAAAGGTTATTAACAGTAAATAACTTTAGGGCTACCATGTGCTGCAAAGTATGTTAGTGGGAAGTGGGTTATGTATGTAGGTATGAGTATGTATGGTTGTTTGTCCATGTGTGCTGGAGCCTCGCAGTGAGTGGGATGCCAGTGGAGGGAAGGGCAACGGATGGCTCAGGGGCTCAGTCCATTCCTGTGATTTAACATGATACCACTTGCACTAAGACTGCAACAGCTGCGTATGCACATGCCGGCCATTCTGTTTGTTGTAGGGGATTACACTGCGATAAAAGCCTCAGTGAGCAGCAGCATGGCTGGGCTACACAACTACTGTTTCCCCCCTGACTTAGAAAGCTTTCTCCAGGCCTCCAGAGCCCTGTGAAAACACAGGTGGGGGCCCTTCTTTCTGAACAGGAATGAATGGGAGTATTCTCCTGATGATTAGCTTGCATCGTAGTAGTGTCACATCACCTTTAGACATCAGTCAAATGGTACGGCACTGCAGCTTATGTAAGGTTCATTACTCAACAGAAATAGTGGGCCATAGTAGAGTAGTAATCAGCTCTGACAGCTCCCATTCATTTACTTCAGAGCAGATTGATTTGCTTTCATTGTGTTGTGTTGATGATCATCTGGGAGGAATACACTGCTTTGTCATCTTTCACCATTAATGTTGTGAAGTCAGTATGAAATCACCATAATCTGAAAGAAGAGAGCTCTGCATCGTGGAGAGTGAAAAACTGATATCAAAGGCTTCAGTAATGGACGTGCAGTTATCATGACGACAAGAGAAACCGTATCTGAGGCGACACACTCTGGCATCTGTTGCTGTC